GCATTGCCACACAGGATCATTCTAAGGAGATGCTTAAATTATTGCTCTCAGGTGTGCTTGCCCTACACTCCGTGTGTGTGTGTGTGTGCGTGCATGCGTGCGCACGCACGTGTGAGATGGTGCTGGAGATGTGTGTCTGAAGCGATAGACATATTTCTCTGACCATACAGAACCTTAGATTCTTAGCAGCATCTCTGATCTATCCTCTCAGGAAGTAAAACAACACAGATATAGAGACTCCATTCGCCAAACTAAAGTTGTTTTGGTGTTGGTTTTGTTTCTGAATTGTGAATTTATTTGTGTCTTAAAACTTTAAAATCAGCACATTTTGAATTGGGAATTTATGTCTTAAAACATTAAAATGAGCACATTCAGTTATATATACATATATAATGAATTGCCATTATAGAAAATAATACAATCAGGTGAAGTTAAGAGTGCTGTTGTGGAAATACCCAAGACTTTCAGCCACAATAAATGTTCACTCCTTAGAACCATGGAAATTAAGATACAGTGTAGTGGCCGGGCGCAGTGGCTCATGCCTGTAATCCCAGCACTTTGAGAGGCCGAGGCAGTCGGATCATGAGGTCAGGAGATCGAGACCAGCCTGACTAACATGGTGAAACCCCCTCTCTACTAAAAATACAAAAATTAGCCAGTTGTGGTGGCACGCACCTGTAGTCCCAGCTACTTGGGAGGCTGAGGCAGGAGAATCACTTGAACCTGGGAGACGGAGGTTGCAGTGAGCCAAGCACTCCAGCCTGGGCGACAAAGTGAGACTCGGTCTCAAAAAAAAAAAAAAAAAAAAAAGATACAGTGTAGTAATAAGGAAGCAGTGGTCTGATTTCACCTTACCAAATCAGGCTCTTATCCACTACTACAATTATACTCTAACTCGCTCTTTTCACCCTATTCTGAATGTGTTGTGCATGTGCATTAAATCAATACATGTTTATTGAGCACCTGCAATATGCCAGATACCTTGTGAGGTGTTAGAAGTGTGAAGGTACAGTCACTGATCAACAGGAATTAGCAGCGTAGTGGAAGAGATGGTCAATTGAACCAGTGATTACCAGACTCCAATTAGAGCATGGGCCAAAATGCCAGGGTCCTCTGGTGGCACAGAAGGGGCATTTAAATCAGAGCAGGTAATCTCCAAAGATGAGAGTCATGAGCTAGGAATAGTATTCCAGACACTAAGATGAGGAGGCACAAAGGCACAGAGGCAAAAAGTAGCCTGCTGTAGGCAAGGAGTCACTAGTAATTTAGTGTGATTGGAGCAAAAGATGGGCATGTTCAGAGGAACTGGAGAGAAGCATAGAGGAAAAAATAGTAATAATAATAATAATTTTAATGGACAAAAAAACTTTTAAAAAGAGAGAGAGAAGCCTAGAGGGGTAGGCTGGAGGCAGAACTGAAGATGATTGGTGTTCATGAAAGGGCTGAGAAGGAAAGATCGAGAATTAAGAGGCCTGATCAAGCTCACCCCGTTCACAGTGGTACTCCTCATGTGTCCTCAAACATGTCATTGGGCCTTAGGGTCCTGATTAGTATGACCAGAGAATTAGGGAGAGTTATTCCCAAACCGTGAAACACTGTTCCAGTAGATGGGAAAAGATTGACTATGAACAATGGTTTCATTACTTTGATAGTTAAGGGAAGACTGAATACTGCATTGGCCTCTTTAAGACTCCTCCTGACTCTAGCATATTAAAGGTTTCTGAAGTCATCCAGTAAAAACACCACTTCAGTTTTCTTTAATTCAGTATTTTCCAAATTATGTGGACTGGGAGCCGATTTTCTGTAACAGGATATTAGTATCATGAGGCAGAGCCCCATTCTGGCAAACAGTGGACTAGTTCTCAAAAGTACAATCATCTTTATTCATTCACTAATTAAATTTTTTTAAGTGCAGAACCAAACAACGGGTTCACTTTATACTTTAGATTACCAGCGTATCCCTGTAATAAACTTTAGGTGTTTATTTTCCACAGCAATATTTTTTTTATTACATCAACTGTCCTGGGATTTATCTTTTCTTTTCTCATTTTTCATGTCATGCATAGACTTTATTACCTGGTAATAAGTTGCAAGAAATGTGAATTGAGTTGTTTCTAAGCAAATATCAATCATTTATGATTTGTTTAATAGAAATTATAATGAAGAAAATCAGGGTTTTGCTTATTATGAAGTCATTATAGTCAACATTAGCAAATCCCAAAATTAATAATGTGTCAGTAAATCATTTGCATTGCTAAAGAGATCAAATAAATAAAAACAGGATTGACCTTGTTAGAAATTTGATATTTTCAACATTTATCTGTCAAAGCCACTGATTTGGAAATTGTTATAAATTCTTGAAAAATGGAAACTATTTTCCCTGTAAAAATACCCATCATTTGGCAAAATACGGTGTCATTTTTCTTGAAGAGAATGTAGTGATTGATTATCCAGAGTGCTACCATGACAAGGTAAACCAACCAAATAGCTGGAAAATTGTATGTAATCATATAGCATCACAGAGGCTCTGTGTTGAGCACAACCATTAGAATTAAACCATGGCATCTAATCATTCCCTGCTGGTACTTCCTGTTCCTCCCCAAAACCTTGACCTCCAGTGGATATGCAGAGGTGTTCGCAGTCATCCCTTCCCCTCCAAATGCTGTCAGCACAATTCTAGTCAGCTGAAAGCTCTGCAATAAATACAAACCAAACCCAAACCACCCAAGGAGATTTCAAAATGCAAAGGTGTCTGTGTCTAACATCCCTCACATATATGGCATTCGGAGATTTATTCTGTGTATTAATATTATTAGTCTAGTTTCTTTTATTAATAGTATTGTCCTGAAAATCCTGAGAGATTATAAACAACTGAGGGAAGAGAAGGATGGGAGATGGACAAAAAGGAAAGAGGAATGCTGATCCCTCTTGAGAGGCTGATAATCTATTCAGGAAGACGAAATACACCTGAGATGCCTTGAGGGCCGTTACACAGTATTCGTCCAGTGTGAAAGCGCCAGTACACAAATTGAATGCATGAGTCATGGGGGCCAACAGAGTAAAGGAGCAATCCAATTATCCTTGGTTATTAGAGAACTAAATTGAGTCATAAGAAAGGAAAGGGCTACCCAAACCTACCCCAGAGATGGTCATCAATAGCATACTTGGGAGTAGAACCAGGCTCTTTCTCCCAATAATCAGAGGGATCTCCTCATGCTCGTCTTCCCTGCAATGTTTTAGATTTTAAACAGGCTTTGTTAGGATGGCTGAACTTCAGTCTCCTTTGTTAATTGCTGCCCACATGTTGTAGGATATCTTGTGTTCTGAATCAGGATGAGGATTTTAAATTCTTCCTAGTGTAAGGACGTGTAGCCAGGCAGAATCAATTCCTGTCACTCACACACAAATACACAGGAATGGGATTATGGATCAGGGTGAAGCTGCAGTGCTTTAATCTTAAAATCAATACAGAAAAGGAAGTTGAACTTGTGGGGATTCTATAGAGACTGTAATTTGGCTTCCTATGAGGTTTGCCTTACAGAATATAAGTGCTCCTTGCTTTTCACCTTCTGATTATTTTACTGGGGTGGGAAAAATGAGAGGAAGGGGAAAGATGACAAGAAACTTCTACCACCAAATCTTGAATAAGCATGCAAGTGTAACTCATAATTCAAGCTAATCCACCACTGTGTTGAGAAGAGCTATACACCTTTGTTTAATCTTTTGATTTTTAGAAAATAATTAGCCAGAACCTTGTACCCCATCATCTGTATTTAAGCATAATAAAAATGCATTTGATTTCTTCATAGTTCACTGTCAAGACTGGAAGAGTATTTTTTTAGGCTTACTTTTATGGCTAAGCTTATCATAGCCTATGTAATTTTATATAAATATAAAATCAACAAGCCAGTTACTGACTGAAGGATTCCAAGCTGCTAAGCATGCGATTAATATTTACCCCAGTGTAATTCTGCTTCTCTTGAAAGAGGCATGAACTAATGGTTTAAACAACTAAGTCTTTTCTTAATCAAAGATTTAGAATTTGTTGACTATGTGTCTTTTTCAGATATAACACTGATTTGCTGCACAATTCTGTTGGCGTCCAGCTTTAAGATGGGCTTATTTTTCCTTTCGGATAGTTTTTTAATTCAGTTTTAAAATATGTCTGAGTGTGTTTAGACCCTGCGCCTACAGTGGTGACAGCAATATGAAACACGGTAATCTCGTGAGAAAATGCACTGTGGGCAGCAGAACTCTGGTCTGGCTCTGAGGCAGAGTGGTATAGTTAGAAGAGCAAAGCCTGGAGCTCCTTCTTTGTTTACTTCATCTTCCTAAGCTTGTTTCCTCATCTTTAAACTGGGGATGATTATAGGATACACCTGATAGGTAGGGGTGTTGAGAGAATTAAAGGAAATAAAATATACAAAGTGCTTATCATTGTACTTTGCACTTGTAAGAACTCTATAAATGTTCATGATTATCATGATTATTATGTGAGTCTCAAGTGAGATAACATATGCTGTGTATGTGAAAACATTCTACAAGCTGTAAAACACAATACAAATGTTAATTGTTATTCTGAATAGATTGATGGTTTTGAAACTTTTAAAATAAATCATGGAAGGTTTTTTCTTTGTGCTGCCTGTCATAGGTTCCTAATCTCAAAGAGCCTTGGAGTGATGAATCAGGCTCCAGCTGAATATGCATTTTCTGTCTTAAAAGCCAGAGTTATCTTGTGAGTGTCAAGAATTCCATGATATCAACTTGAAAATCCCAATTCTGTGTCCTTCCAGAGAAAACACTTGCTCAGGTCTTGGGAAGACCGGTGCTGTGTAAGATTCTTATTTGGTTGTTGTTTTGAGTTCATATTTCAAAATGTCACATTCTTCCAGGAAAGCTCAGATACCTTAAATTATGACATACTTGGAGTTGTCCTTCCTTGTCCTACACATTACTTGACTACAGAAATCTCATATCCTCTCTTTGTTGTTCATTTCCAGAGCACAATCATTGTGGAGAAGACAGTGCAAGACCTCCTGAACCTGATGCATGACTTGAGTGCATATTCAGATCAATTCCTCAACATGGTGTGCGTGAAGCTCCAGGAGTACAAGGACACCTGCACTGCAGCTTACAGGTATAGCTTCTGTTAGGAGCTAAGCAAAGTAACGTTTGAGCCTGAGGGTGGTTCTGATTGGTGAAATTGCCTTAATAGCCTAATATTCAAAAGGATCATCTCTGAGTTTGTCAAGAGATGAGAACATCCATCATGGAAATAGTCTCCTAGACCTTTGTGTAGTCGGAACAACAGAGAGAATGAAAGTGATGAAGGGACAGAGCCACTAGGACTGCCATTGAGTGGCTCGGATTATGTGTCAGCCTTGATGTTCATGAAAACCTGGAATGATAAGATCATGTTCCTCACGGAAATTCCAGATCTTGGTTAGTCTATCTTATGGTTAAAAAGATCCTTTAAATAGAGCAATTTGAAACTCTTAATCTTTAATAGGATTTCTTTTTAATTAAAAATATATTCTGGCTGGGCGCGGTGGCTCACGCCTGTAATCCCAGCACTTTGGGAGGCCGAGGCAGGTGGATCACGAGGTCAGGAGATCGAGACCATCCTGGCTAACATGGTGAAACCCCGTCTCTACTAAAAATACAAAAAATTAGCCGGGCGAGGCGGCGGGCGCTTGTAGTCCCAGCTACTCTGGAGGCTGAGGCAGGAGAATGGCGTGAACCTGGGAGGCAGAGCTTGCAGTGAGCTGAGATCGCGCCACTGCATTCCAGTCTGGGCGACAGAGCGAGACTCCGTCTCAAAAAAAAAAAAAAAAAAAAAAAAAAAAAAATATATATATATATATATATATTCTTCCTGACATTTAATTTGTAGCATTCCTACTGTCACAAAACAGTTACCCCTGTTTTCAGCATCAGTAGCAATGAAAAACCATTGTTATGAACTTGAAAACCATTAGTTATCCCGTTATCCCTCTGATTTCCTTCCCTAGGTTCAAAAAAATCTCTCTGGGCTTGTGGAAAAGATCATAGCAATTCTCTAAGAAAGCTTATAATAGGAACAAATTACGATCTGGTTCACAATACATGAAACAATTAGGGAAGAAAAGAATGTATAATAAAATACTAAATTTTGTGTGCTCTATATTGAAGACTAGATAGGTGAAGTGCACTACGTAATCAGGCGCTGCTTGTATAATATGGACTGTGAGGGCAGAGGGATCAAAACACAAGAAAGAGAAAGGGTTGTAATCGGGAATGGTTTCGCAGGTGAGATATGTGCTGGACTGATGAAATTTACAGAGGTAGAAAGAATACACAAAGGCGAGGATGGAGGAAGCAATGAGACAGTTGCCCACTATTTTACTTTATTTATTTTATTTTATTTTTTGAGATAAAGTCTCGCTCTATCGCCAGGCTGGAGTGCAGTGGCACAATCTCAGCTCACTGCAACCTCTGCCTCCTGGGTTCAAGTAATTCCACTGCCTCAGCCTCCCGAGTAGCTGGGACTACAGGTGTGCACCACCACGTCTGGCTAATTTTTCTGTTTTTAGTAGAGGCAAGCTTTCACCATGTTGGCCAGGCTGGTCTCAAACTCCTAACCTCATGATCCGCCCACCTTGGCCTCCCAAAGTGCTGGGATTATAGGCCTGAGCCACCGCACCCAACCCAGTTGCCCACTATTTAAAGGGGACAATGAGGAGGAAGTTTGACTGGGATAGAGTTCCTAGGAGAATCTAGCAGGAGATAATGTTGAATAGGAAGAATAAGACCAACTAAAAAGGGGTCATAAAAAATAAGATCCTGAAAATGTAGATTTTGGATAGCAGATAGGGAATCACTTATAATAAGTGAGCAAGGAAGCAATGTTCACAGAAGATTGATTTGGCAGAGGAATACAACATAGATTAATGCTTAACCTTCCTGATTCCAGCAATAAGAATTATCCACAGTTACATGGACAAATTAATCAACAACCATCTCATTGAGATGCTGTCCCAATAACTTTTTGTGTTCAATAATTATTTATCAAAACTTATATTTAGGTTAAAATCATACATATAATTAACAATTCTGTCAATTGGTTGTATACTAAATAATAATTATAATGGTAATTCAAACAAAAGAAAGTTAAAATTTAGTCTTGTGGTAACAGAAACTTTAAAGTTTTTGGATTTTAATTTATACAGATAGTCTTTTGTAAAAAGCTACAATGGAATAATAAAATAATTTCAAGCATAAAATATATTTCATTAGGATAAATTTCAGTGAGGAAATGAAATAGAAATAATAATTCAAAGAGGAAAAGGAAAAGTGAAAAATATCCAACTGTTAAAGAAGAGCTTGTTCATATGTATTTTAAATATATAATGGAGGGTATCAAATCCCTGTGGCATTGAGATTCCATTGGATACTGTTTTTAAAATTTTAATTGACAGATAATAATTATATAATGAGTACAGTGCGATGGTCTGATATATGAATACATTATGAAATGATTACATTCAATCCAATTCATATATCCATTACCTCTCATACTTGTTTTTGTGTGTCTTTGTGCTGCAAACATTTAAAATCTACTCTCAGCATTTTGAAATATATGTTACGTTATTATTAATTATAGTCATCATGATGTTCAATCATTCTCAAAATGCCATTCCTCCTAACTGAAACTTTGTATGGTTTGAGCAACATCTCCCCACCTCACCCCACACCCATCCCACTCCGCTGGCCCCCAGCCTCCGGCAGCCACTGTTCTCCCTCTACTTCTGTGAGTCTTTTGTAGACTTTTTTAGAGTCCCCTAAAGTGAAATCATGCAATATTTGTCTTTCTGTGCCTGGCCATTGGATACATTTAAAATAGTGATTTTTAACATTGTCAGTCTTTAGGATATGCCAAAATTTATGTCTTTTGCATCTATTTAAAAGCATGCTAAAAAAAATTAAATGTCAACTTAAAAAAGGAAGGAGAATATAGTTTTCCAAAATTATTTTAAGGGATACACCAATAACAATTGTAAAAGCCACTATTCTAGGTTAATTGTCTGAGATTGGAATTTCTGGGCCATAGAGTCTTGGATTTTCAGTTTTACAAAACCATACTCCAAAGTGGTAGTACCAACGTCTCATCTACCAAAAGAGAATTGAATAAAATATTTTAACTATTAACACTTAGTCCCAGTGCAGTAGCTCACGCTAGTAATCCCAGCACTTTGGGAGGCCGAGGCGGGTGGATCACCTGAGGTCAAGAGTTCGATACCAGCCTGGCCAACATGGTGAAAGGCCGTCTCTACCAAAAGTACAAAAATTAGCCAGGTGTGGTGGTGCATGCCTATAATCCCAGCTATTCGGGAGGCTGAGGCAGGAGAATCGCTTGAACCCGGGAGGTGGAGGTTGCAGTGAGTCGAGATCACACCCCTGCACTCTGGACTGGGTCACAGAGTGAGACTCTATCTCAAAAAATAAAAAATAAAAACCTAAATATTAAAAAATTAAAAATTTTAAAAATAATTGCATTTTAATAATATCACATTTTAAATTTATGTTTAACCTCCATTAAATTTAAAGCTTTTTTTTTTAAGTAGGGCATGCCCTCTTTTTCTAGTAAGTTACCTGATTATGGGCACCCAGTTACTTTCTCACAAATAATAATGTTGATAAATAGTAATTATAGTAGAGATGTTGCATAACCTGACCACGATAAGGTCAAGTTGTCTCTAGAATGCAAATCCCACTGATGGCCATTTATATAGCATTATTGATGTTGTTGTCTTGAAAGACATGTTGTAAGTTCTTGTAGCTTGGCACCATATTCATCATGCGTGATTTTTCTCCAATCATTTATGTTCCTGCCTCTCAAGAGGTCAAGTGGCTGGAAGCCACTGCATCTGCAAAGCAGACTGATCATTGTTGAATAGTTTTCATCTGGAAGTTTTCTCTTAGTTTGATGTGATACTCTCCTATCCATTGGACATAGTTCTTTTCTCTGAGTGATAATTCATCAGTTTAATCCTTTTATGAACACCCTTCAAATATATGAAGATAGCTATCATAGTCCACTTAGTCTTGTTTTTCCTCCTTAAACTGAACATTCCCAGTTTCTGGCATGCCCTGGTCTACGAACTATCCCAGTCATCTTTCTCCATTACCCATTAGCTTGGCAGTGTCCATCTTAAAAAGGAATGCCCCAGACTATGCCCAGTGTTCCAGATGTACTCTTTCTTTTTTTTTTTTTTTTTTTTTGAGATAGAGTCTGTTGCCCAAGCTGGAGTGCAGTGGTGCAATCTTGGCTCACTGCAGCGTCTGCCTCCCGGATTCAAGTGATTCTCTTGCCTCAGCCTCCTGAGTAGCTGGGACTACAGGCGCAAGCCACCATGCCCAACTATCTATCTATCTATCTATCTATCTATCTATCTATCTATCTATCTAATCTATTTATAGTAGAGATGGAGTTTCACCATGTTGGCCAGGCTGGTCTCTAATTCCTGGCCTCAAGCAATCCTCCCACCGCCTCGGCTTCCCCACGTGACCAGATGCACTCTGGGTGTTGAGCAGCATCAGTGCTGGACACAATGCTTCTTAGTGTGTCCTATCATTGCACTTGTCAGGTATTTACTGAGCATTTACCAGGATGCTGTGTGGGTGTGTGGGGATAAAGAAATGAATCAGTCAAGATTCTACCTTTCATGTGCTTATATTCTTGGTGAAGAATAGAAAGGGAAATACGGGACAAAGAAATAGCATATATCCACAGCATTAATTCAAGACAGAAAATATGGCAGGATAGGTAAAAATGCCTTGCTGTGGGAGGAAGAAATTACGAAGGAGAACTGGGAAGGCTTGGTGAAGGATATGAACTAGACTTTATGAAGAATAAAGAGGATTTAGACAGAGGCTTGAAGAAGAGCAAGAACAAGTGATAAATGTCTGGGATGTGGAAAGGAAGGCTTGGGTCAGACTGGAGAATCGCGAATGTCAGACTCCAGGACCTTTGCCTTTTTAAATTAAGTAGCAAGGAGCCACTGAGTGGGCGGTAAGCATGGAGTGCCATGTGGAGACCTGTGCTTTAGGGAAATTTTTCTTAGTTTTGTGTAAGATGGATTTGAAAAGCAAGAGTAT